ATTCAAAATTTTTATTAAACGACACAAAAAATTATTTTTTTTTTAAACAAATTTTTTTTTTTTTTGTTTATAACGAGAAATTTAGTAGGATAAATTATTATTATTATTAATTTCTATTAGGTAATAGTTTATATATAAAAAAAAAAGTTTTTGTTGTTACTTCATCAACTCGTATTTTGACAAAATATCTTGTTTGTTTTGAACCGTACTAAAAAAAAAAAAATTAAGTGTGTCTTTTTTTTTTTTTTTTTTTTTAGTTTTAAATCTTACAAAATTCAATTTAAATAATAAATCAATAATACATTTATGTATTTCGTATTTATTGAAGATGATGATAATAATTATTACAATATGATAACGGTAGGGCCAACAAAAACGATGTTAATAATAATTATTTTAATATTTTTCTTATTGAGATTAATTTTTTTTTGTTATCGACATAAAATAAACGACCCGTAATTTTTTTTTTTTTCTTTGAATCGAAAATTCTAGAAAATCAATAATAATAAAAATAATAATAATAATAATAATAATAATAATAATAATAATCGTAATAAAATGGAGGCGGACTTTTAAAAATACGTTTCGGTATAATTTTTTTTTTTTTTTGGCACGACAAAACAACTTTGTCAATAATTGGCGTTTATCTCATTTATTATAATTAAATTTTATTTGTCGCGACGTTTTATTATTATTATTATTATTATTATTATTATTATTATTATTATTATTATTATTATCATTATCATTATTAATAATATTATTTTTAATAAAAATAATTTTTTTAATTGTTTGTTCAAGTTGTTTTTGAAAACAAATGCGAATTTTAAAAAAATAAATAATAATTTATTTATTTTATTTATTTTTTTTGTGAATCATTGAAAATCGATAAAATTATAATAAAATTATTTATTATTAATAATAATATTGATAATAATTTACGTATCGTGACCTACGACCTTATTTTTTATTTATTTTTAATAGTTTCATTGACTTTAAATTTTTATTTATTTACGTAAATCAATAAATCTATCGTTCGATTTCCTTTTAAAAAAAAATTAATTTTAATTTTAATTTTAAAAAATGTTCCTTTTTATTTTACTATTGTTTTAAATTATTTATTAATATTTATTAACGATAAATTACATAATAATAATTTTAACAAATAATAATAATAATTTATTAAAATGTCAGAAAAGGGTAAATTGTTAATTTCTATATTACAATTCATCATTTATCGTTTGAAACGTTTATGTTTCATAAATTAAATTGTTTTTTTTTTTTTATAACAATTTATGTTGGTAGACGTGTAAATCTTATCAATCAATCCATATTGTTTATCATTGTAATAAAAAAAAAAGCGGGGAAAGAAAATTCGGGTCCCCGATTAAATAAAAATTTTTTATTTTTAAAATGGCGACCGGTTTTTTTTTTTTTCGTGACGACCTTGCTCCAAAGCTTTTTTTTTTTTAAAGAAGCTTTACGACTCCATAATTTTGGGAATCAAATCGGGGAGCAAGGGGAGAAAGAAGGGGAAAGGAAAGGGAAGAGAGAAGAGGAGGAAAGAGGAAGGGTAAAACGACACACTTAATACAATTTCTCGTTTTCGATACGAGACTTTAATTATATAACGGATGAGTTATTTTTGTTCTTTTAATGCTACCAAGCCTTCGGTATAATCATCATGCATTCGATACGTGTCATTAGAATGACTGTGCACTCGTAAACTCTTATTTTTAAAGTGGTTTCCTCCTTCTCTTACGCGCGGGACGCTTGTGTTTGTCTGCTTGCACGTCTACATTAACAAAAAAAAAAAAAAAATTTTTTTTTTTTTGTTTCGAGTAACTTAAATTTGATGGAAAGTGTTTTTCGTCCATACTTTTTCAAACGGCCCTGAATTACCCTTAATAAACATTATCATCATCATTATCATTATCACCTACGATTGTTGATTAATTGATTTGTTTCTAATGATTAATAATATTAATAATAATAATAATTTTTCTTTTTTTTTCTTTTAATGATTGATTTTAATGAATAAACGTCTTCCGTCATTTTTATCTATTTAAAAAATATTACGTAAAAAATTTCTACGTAATAATAATAATAATAAACTGAATTTTTTATATATTTTTATATTTTATATATAATTTTATATATATTTTATATTTTTTTATATATCTTATTATTATTAATATCGATTAATTTATTAAAAATGGCGCGAAAAAAAAAATTAATAAATATATTGCTTTAATAAAATTATTATTATTTTTTTTTCGCAAGATTTGAATTCGCAAGTTTTTTTTTTTTTAAGCAAGACTCAAAACATTTATTGGCAAATATATTAAATGCGTAAATGCACCACGCACCACGCGCACGCACGCACGCACGCACGCACTTTTTCTTATTTTTTTTTTTTTAATAAACATTAACTCGTTATTATTTTTTTTTTGTCAAATAATAAATAAATTTAAAATTATGAAATGTAAAAAAAACCATTTTAATATCGGCGATTTGATAATAATAATAATGATGATAATATTAAATTCGGCTATAAAATTTAAATTGATGATCCGCCATTTTGAAAAAAAAAAAAACAAAGTTTATGCGTATGCAAATATTTTTAAGAAATTATGAAATGCCACTTGAATATTAAGAAACGTAAGTAACGCATGATGAAAATCGTAAAACAAAAAAAAATAAAATAATAATGATAATGATAATAATACTGTTAATGATAAGGATAATGATGATAAAAAACCTGAATGCGTTCAAGGGGAGGCGCGCGCAAAAAAAAAAAATAAACCAAAAAGGAAAAAAAAATTTTTTTTTTTTTATTCTTTCATCGAAATGAAATTTTTTTATCGGGGGGCCGTGGAGTGGAGATGAAGATGGGGAGGTAATTTTTTAATTTATGTATCGGTTTCGCCCGAATAATTTTTCTTATGTGATTTTTTTAATAAAAATTTATGTATATTTAATAAATTACGCGAACCATATAAGAGATAATGATAACCTCCGCCATTTCTTTTTTTTATCATTTCGGACATTTACTAATTTATTCGTATTTAAATTATTATTATTATTATTATTATTATTATTATTATTATTATTATTATTATCGTCACTGATAAACGCGACAAGTTTTATGTTGCCGTCGTTAAAGTTTTTTTTTTAAAAAAAATTCATTTCAGGTTTCTACCCTGATTTCTCAGGTATTAATTGTGATGTTGCCATCGAAGATTGTTATCCACAATCCTCCTTCGGCTGCGGCACTTTTCCCGCCAATACGGATATTATAATCATATCCGGTTTGTTACTCGCACAAAACTACTCATGTGGTAGCAAACTCCTTCCGCCGATATATTTCTATCATTATTTCCGTTTAGATTCGGTAATTTTTTCATAATTTCACAACGTCTTCTGCTATTTTTTTTTTGGATCGATAATTACTCGTTTAGCATTGAAATGTCAAAACATTTAAATAGTCTAGACGTGTGTGTGTGAGTGCGAGTGCGAAGGGTAATAAAAATTAATTGTTTGTTATATGGAATTTTTTTTTTTACATAAAATAATTTAATTGACCTTTGACACTTATTTAAATAGGAAATGGGAAATTTTAATAGCAAACCGGATATACCGGACGGGGTAATTTTCTTTTCGTTTTAAATGATTTTTTTTCTTGCGAGGAGAACAAAAGGAAAATTTTTTTTATTGAGAAATGTTGGGTGCGTGCGTGTGTGCGTGTGCGTATTGACAAATTTTTAAAATTTTTTTCCAGTTGTCCTTTATAAAACAATTATAATTATAAATGTAAATTTATAGAACTAACGCTAACGCATCTTTCGTATGGCCAACATTACTAAATTCTTTTTTTTTTTTTTTTTTTACGCGTATTTAGTACATAAATAAAAAATTTAGTAAACAACTCTTGCATTTCGTCCTTGGCATTTACTTCTTTAAAATCTCGTTTAACAAGAAAATAAAAATTAATAAAAAAAAGAAGAAGAAGAAGAGACGTACTGAAAAATAGAATATGAAAAAAAATAAAAAATGGCGGATTTTGACCGAATTTATAAAAAAGTAAAGTTGCATAAAAAAAAAAAAAAAAAACAAAATGTCCGTCTATTTTTTTTTTTTTTTTTATTTCGCATTAAAAATAACTCATGTCATTTAAAATAAAAAAAAAAAACGTAATTTTTCGAAGGGTTGTTGTTGTTGTTGTCGTTGTCGTCGTCGCCAAGAACTCCTTGAAAAAAAATAACCATTAAAATATTATTATTATTATTATTTCAATGATCCGTATAATTTTTTAATTTTTTTTTTTATTTCCTTATTGTAAATTTTTTAAGTGGAAGGATTAACCGAAAAAAAAAAATTTTTTTTTTATTTTATAAAAGTGTGTGTGTGTGTGTGCGTGCGCTTGAGCGCCCATGCGTGAAAACTTTTGAAAAAAAAAAAAAAAGAAAAACTAATACGCGTTATGACGTCATTACTTTTGATGATACCAACCCGGGATTTTTCCCGGATCTCATTTTTTTTTTATTATTATAAAATTATTTTATTGTTATTTGAATTCCCCTTTAATTTTTGAGATTTTTTTTTATTTATTTAAATTGATTTTTAATAATAATAATAATAATAATATGATGATGATGGTGATAATAATAATAATTTTTATTTGAAAAAAATTACTTAAAAAATTTTTTTTTTAAAAAGTGAAAATATCCAATTTTTTTTTTTTTTTAATTTCTACGTAATATATTATCCACATAATAATTATTATTATTATTATTATTATTATTATTATGTCCACTATATATTATTATTATTAAGCATCAAGAAATATGTCGGAATAAAATAAATAAAAAGATTTTTATCGATTACTTTGATTTATATATTTTATATCGTTTCGATAAATTTGGTTTTTTTTATTTAAAAAAAATATTTCAAAAAAAAAAAAATTCCGAGATGGCATTATCATTATTATTATCATTATTATTATTATTATTGTCACTTATAATGGCAACAAGTTTCGTGTGGTTGTCGCGGAATTTTTCCAGTTTTTTTTATCCGATTCTAAATGTTTGAATGTCGGTGGAGTGTGATGGGCCCCTACCATGCCACGCAATTTCCCGTAGGATTCTCCATTTCTTCCCTAAAACTTATCATTAAATTATTCAATCACGGGTTCCCAAACTTTTTACCATTCTCGGAACCACTTCCGCTTTCATTTTCCACATTCTGACATTTGCAATCTCTAAAACTGTTTTTCCCGAGAGTAACCTGATAAGGTTAGAGGTAATGATAACCTCCAGGAATTTTCTCTTTTCTTCTTTGTTCACATCGAAGTTTCACACTTTAACAGACAATATGTGGGATGACACCGGTAATCCAGTAACGGTCAAAATTTATTATTATTATTATTATTATAAATAAATATAAAATTTAAATTCAAATTAAAATATTTTAATAAGGTCGTCCGTCGTCAAGGTTTTTTTTTTTTTTTTTTTTTTTTTTTATTTCAGGGTGATATTTAAAAATTTTTTTTTATTAAATTTTATTTCATTTTATAAAATTTTTCAAATTTTTTTTTTTAAGGGAAGAGAGGGAGGGAGGAGGAGGATTAGGGGTGAATTCAAAAGAAAATTCAAAATTCTAGAAAATTCTGTTTTTTTTTTTTTATCTGTGAGTTAAACTAAAACTTTTCTGATAATTTTAAATCATTTAAATGATGAATATTTTAATCCCCGGATTAAATCGACGGATCGTGTTAATCTCAGGTGTTAAATACTTGTGATATTCATTATCATTATTATTATTATCATTATAAAATTAATTTATTGGGGGGTAAAAAAAAAAAAAAACGAATTCAATAAAATTTACGACGTTTTTTTCTGGAGTTTTAAACGTTAAACGATGTTCGTCGTGTCGTCGTGTCAGCAGATTTTAAATAATTATTTATCTTTTGAACTTGTACGATTCCTTAAAATTTGTTTATATCACAAATACCAATAATTGAAGATTCGAACATTTTTAACAACAAATTTAAATTGTCAAACGACATTAACAGAAAAAAAAAAAAGTTGTTTTGTTATTTTGTTTGAAAATTCTGTCACTGAAGGATAATGGGTTTGATATTCAACGAAAAAAAAAATATGTCAACGGGTAAAGAGGTATCCCATTCTCCCCCTCTTCCCCTCCTCCCCCCTTGCGTTATAATCGTCCTTTAAAAAATTTTTTTAAAACAATTAAATAATGATGATGATGATGATAATAATTAAATTCAAATCGTCTGTTAAACTTTTAATGCATTTGTTTTGATTATTGCATTATTCAGTTATTTCATTTGCATATTTATAACGCGGAGCCAACTTATTATTATTATTATTATCATTATTATCATGTCGGTGTAGTTTTTTTCTTTTTCTCTCTCTCTGTAAATAATATCTTTTTAATTTTTTTTTATCCTTTTCTTTTAATTTCGGACGGCGATTTAAATAAAATTTAACCAAAAGTTTAAAATTTTCCTTTCGTTTGGTTCCCTTCCCTTCTCCCCCCCACACCCATAAAGGAAAATTTTTTCAACCTCATTAATTTTTATTTGACTTTTTAAAAAAAGTTTTTTTTTTAAGGTCGCAAAAACAACAAAAATTATTATTATTATTATTATTATTATTATTAGGGTTTTTTTTTATTACCGTTATGGAAAATTTTAACAATTTTATCAAATTATTGTGTGTGTGTGTGTGTGTGCGCGCGCGCGTATTTCACGATGTAAACATAAATCTTAATGCAAAAATAACATTTGGAACTACAAGTTAGTGTACTTAAACATATCAATATTTTATAAATGTTATCGATTCAAATTAGTTTTTCGTACAACCTTTACTTACATAAATAATAAATAAAAAAAAAAAAAAAAAAAATTAGTCGTTTGGACTAAAAATAAATTAGTTTAGTATAAACAATACAAAATTGGGTACCCGTTGAAAAAATTTAAAATATTTTTTTTTTATTTTTATAAACAAACATTACTCAACTTCCACCTAACTATTATCTGTTCACAAGAACAAAAAATAGAAAGTAAATACCCACTATTATTAATATTATCATTATTATTAATTTTAAAGACGATTGACTAATTAGTCTATCGTTCGCTTTTTATATAATTTCAAATAAATAAAAAAAAAATCGTTATAATTTATTTTAATTAGACGTCATTAAATCATCTAAGGGCATTAATTGTTATTTAACAATTATATCAAAAATCTTTGTATAGATGATAATGATGATTAATTACGTAAGGCAAATCTTCAAAAAAATTTTTTGTCGTCAATTATTAAAATCGTTGTTAATTCGTTCATCATTAATTAAAAAAAAAAAAAAAAACTTCATCATTTTCGCCTGACTATATATGTTTATTCTAATTTAGTGCTTGTAAAATATAAAATTGCATAAACAGTATTTCGACGGCGTTTTTTATTATTATTTTACGTTTTTTTTTTTTTTTACGTTCGAGTAGTAAAATTTAAATGCGGATTTTGATATAACGTGAATAAATATTATTATTACTTGTAATAATTTAAATACTTATTTATTTTTTATTACCCCCTGAATGATTAATTAAATTCTTGTGATCATTCGATTACGTTAATAAAATAACAACGCTACCCACCGACGAATATTAGTTACGTTAAAATTATTATCATTATCGCAGTTATAATTTTCCAAAGGAAATAAATGAAAATTAAAAACGGTTATGATTGATGAAAAGTCCAAAAATTTACGAAAGGGAAATATATATGTATCTGAAAAGGTCAATAGGTCAACAAATATCGACAAAAGATCATAAATAAATTCTGCACGTCAGATAGTAGAAACAATGAATAAAAAAAAAAAATTTATTTCCGTTTCCGATTCGTATTGTTTGTATTGTCTTTTACGTATCGTAAAAAAAAAAAATATGACGTATCTTTCGTTGTAGAGAATACATAATCCGCCATTTTTGTTTTTTGTTTTTTTTTTGTTTTTTTTTTTCATGTGGGGAACTCGTGAATAAAAAAAAAAAAATTCCAAGTCGTAAATTTTTTTTTTCGCTTCGTAATAATTTTAAAATAATTTTCAAACGTTTTGTTAAAAAAAAAATTTTATTTAAATGTTAATATCGAAATTTCTAGAAAAAATATCGATTTTAAAAATTTTATTGTTTTCCCCTTTTGAAATGTGAATTTTTTTTTTTTTTTATATTTATAACCTTAACTATCATCGATTGTTACAAACACTTCGGACTTGTAATTTTTTTTTTTTTTAAATAATTAATTATAATTATTTACGCTACGATATTAAAATAATAATAATAATAATAATAATAATAATAATATTAATAAAAGGAATGAAAAAAAAAATCATCGCGGTATTAAAAATCTTTTAAAAAAAATAATAATAAGAAGATGTATTCGAATAGTTCGAGGTAAAACGGTCAAGGATTATTATATGGACATCATGAAATTTTTTTTTTAATTTTTGCATCAACAACAACCACAACCGCAACAAAAATTACTTTTAAAAAAAAAAATTTTTTTACTTCACGGAGAAGGGAAACAATTAAAAAAAAAAAAAAATGGCGAACGGGGGTAAATCGATAAATTTCTATGGCGTAAAACGAATAAAATTATTTTAGGTTTAAAAAAAATAAGTGTTATGTAGTAGCGGTAGTGGTAGCAGTAGTAGTAGTGGTGGTAGTAGTAGCAGCACACCTAATAATAATTTTTCAATCGTTTTTTATTTTAATAAAAAAATTTATGTAAAACTTATGTAATGTATTTTAGCTTTTAGTCCTTTGACACAATAACATTTATTTATTTTATCCATTAAAGGTCGTCGTTATCATCGTCACCGTCGTCAATTCTATTTTTATCATTATTATCATCATCATTATCATTATCATCATCTTTGTCATATTCACACGAACGTGAAATTATGCGCATTAAATAATCAATTTTTACTGTCATTATTATTTATCATTGACGTTTTTGTCGGATCGACAATCGGAAATTTTTATCGATCGATCGATCGATCGATTTATCGAAGAAAGAATAAACCGGAAGTGATGTTTTTTTTTTTGGAGAATAAAAATAGGAAAAATGAAATTAATTAATACAAATAATTGTTTTATTTATACAATTTTAGAGTATTTACACAAGATCAAAGAGTGAAAAAAAAAAAAGAATTTGATGTTGTTAACTCTTGTTGTTGGTAACTTCAAAGGTAATTAAAATGACGACTTAGAAGTTCTTCGTCAGACGATAGATGACGTAATAAGCAGAAGAAGAAAAAGAAGAAGAAGAATCGATGCTAGTCATAGGTTTCGATGGAGTGGTAGGAGAAGTGGTGGTGGTGGTGGTAGAAGTTTTTATATTTTTAACAAAACAATACCATCACACACACACTCTCTCTTTCTCACTCTTTCCTTGTGAAGATGTTTGTTTGTTTGTTTGTTGTTAAAAGACTAGCGAGACAAAGGAAAAGAAAAAATTATTTATTCGCTCGAGGCGGTGAAATTTTTTTTTTTTTAATAGTTTTGAGGTCTTCTAAAAGTTGGATTAAATGCTGATCCTTGTCCTGCAGAATCCCCTGATTCAGGTTGACTTCTAAGAAATTCTAATGCCCTTTGAATAGCTTCCGGTATTGGTGGTGGAGTTGGAAGATGGTCACCTAACAAACAGAAACAACATCGTGTTAAATTTTTTTTGTTTTTTTTTTGGGGGTTTTATTTCTCTAAGAAGCAAATAAGCTGATATATGAATGCTTCTGAAATGCGATGAAAGATTCCAACAATAACAACAACAACAAACGATGCGATGATATTGGTTGCTGCCACGAAAAAGCGTTTAACAATTTTTTTTTTTTCAAGATCGAAAATAAAGAAAAGCTCATAAGCGTAAATAAAAAAAAAAAAAAATTTATGAAAATGATGTTTGTTCGTTCGTTTGTTTGTTTGTTTGTAAAGCTTAAAAAATAAGCAGAAGTAAAGCGTCGCTTTATAAAAAAAATGATATCCGATGTTTTTTTTTTGTTAAACAACTTACTAAAACTGTACAATCCTGGTTGTTGTTTGTTTTTGTTTTTTTTTTTTTACATTTTTTTAAAATTTTTTTACATTTTTCTTTGCTTATCTACGTCCGGCTTTTTGTCCGATTTGAACTGCGGAATAAAAAATAATTCGTTTTTGTTTTTCAATCAATCAATCAATCGTGAATTTTTTTTTTGTTTGTTTTTCCAGCGATTCTGGAATTAAAATATTTTTTTTTTTTACCTTGTGGAACGAAACCATTTTCATCAGCGGTATAAGTGACGGTTATTCTTTGTCCATCTGGGGCGGTGTAACTGTAACTACCTTGAGCAA